AAAAAAAAAAAAAAAAAAAAAAAAAAAAAAAAAAAAAAAAAAAAAAAAAAAAACAACCAACAACAAAACACCCAATCTGAGTTCTATCTGGTACATCCTGCTCTGACTTCTGGTTGCAATGTTTCTTCTCTCCCAGGCAATTTCCTCATCTGCAAAATGGAGGTACTCCCACCTACCTCATAGAACTGAGATGGGGTCACGTTGCTTCATATTAGACCAAAGATTATTCATGATCTTTTTCTCTCCCCGCCACTTGACCTTTCTTTCTTTCTTTCTTTTGCTAAATTTTTCTCTATAAGAAGAAGAACTTAACACTTCATGAGAATCAGCATGATGGAGTGATAAGAACCTAGAGTGGAGATCAGGTTTGAAATCTCACATACCCTCCCTATAACTGTTGGGCAGTCATGAATCTCTTGAGTCTGAGCTTCCTCTTGGCTACTCTTACCTTTCTGGAAACACTTGGTCTCCACCCTCTCAGGACTTTGCACCACAGGCAGCTCAGTGGCTGCATTGCCTAATTTCTCAGGAACGCTCTCTCCCTCCCCTCTTGAGTTGGTGAGTCACTTCCTCTTTCTGAATTGAAATCCTATGGTTATTTATATTGTGGCATAGGGGAGTCAACAACAGAGAGTAAACAGTAAAAGAGGTAATTTATCCTCCAAATGGGAAGTGATTAGGCTATGAGTAAGAATCACGGAGAGGTTGGGCCAAGGAAATGTTTAATAAAAAAAAAAAAAAAAACTTCAGTGGCGTTAAGCAGGAGACTAACTAAACAAGTCATATAAATACAGGAAGAGAAAAGAGCCTAATCAAATTCTGTAACACATTTTTCAGTGAGCATCGAAAGATACCAATATTGGCCAGGTGTGGTGGCTCACACTTGTAATCCCAGCACTTCTGGAGACCACAGGTTTATCGCTTGAGCCCAGGAGTTTGAGACCAGCCTGGGCAACATGGTGAAACCTTGTCTCCATCAAAAATAAAAAAAAATTAGCTGGGCATGGTGGTGCATACTTGTAGTCCCAGCTACTCAGGAGGCTGAGGTGGGAGAATCACTTGTGCCTGGGAGTTTGAGGCTGCAGTGATCAGTGATCACACCACTGCATTCCAGCCTAGGTGACAGGGCAACACCCTGTCTCAAAAAAAAAAAAGAAAGAAAAGAGAAAAGATACCAACATTACTGTGTGTGAGAAATCCAACTGAATTCTTCTCTCACATTATGTTCAAACTCAGCAATTATTACTTCTTTAATTACATGAGATCTGTATCATCAATGCAAAAACATACCAGTAAAAGTTTCAGTACAGGGGTTTATGCCAGCAAGCCTCTTTGATGTCCCGAAGTCAGAGATCTTGAGTACACCACTGTAGGTATTAATCAACACATTGTCACCCTAGAGAACAGAGGACTTTAATCACAAATGTTATCTTTCTTCAGATACTGTCTGTTGTTGACTTGGTAAGTCCAATTTTAAAAAAAGCTGCCCTTACAGCAACCAATGACACTAATTCTATATTCTTTATTAATAGTTTATCTCAATAGTGAATTTTTGATACTTTTTGTTTACATATTATCAGTTTGAAACCACCTTTGCAAAAATTATAACAGTGAGAAAATGATGACAGTAAAAGAGATCTGATCTAACCACCACCATCTTGCCTTAAATTTCCAAAGTGCCCTTGGTCATTCCAGGGTGTAGCCCAAGCTCACTTGGGGAAATTTAGTTTATAGTTTAAATGATAATAGCCCTTCCCCCAAACTAAACCACCTTTGTAAACCTAATGAAAGGCCACCAGGTTAGGAGGATGAGAGGGGCCTAAAGTCTGCTAAGATGCAGGCATAGTTACATGATTATCAGCTCATTATTCTGGGGGTCAAAAGATTTGCAACTTCCCCAATTGCTTTTATAATTGACATCACTATTGTAGAACCTAAGACTGGCCTTTTGAGCTGTCTTTTCAGGCTGCTCCATTTCTGACTACCAGATGGCATCACCCAGACCTGTGACTCTGGACTCAACCATTCCTGTGGCCCCCACCCAGAAGTGGACTTGGCGCACAAGAACCATCTTCCACACCCCTATGATTGCATCCTCAACCAATCAGCAGCACACGTACCCCAGCCCCCTGTTCACCAAGCTATCTTTGAAAAACCCTAGCCTCTAAATTTTGGGAGAGGCTGATTTGAATTATTATAAAACTCCAATATCTGGTTTTAGCCATCTCTGTGTGTATTAAACTCTTTCTCGATTGCAATTCCTGTGTCTTGAGAAGTCAGCTCTATCTGGTCAGTGGGCATGATGAACTCACTGTGTGGTTATAAGTTCTTCACAATCTGTTACTCAGATCACAAATCAAATATGATTCCTAATTGGTTAGAGCTTGCTGCTATTTACAGATATGTAATGATATATGTATAATCAAATTATGATTTTCATAACTTTCCAATTACTTTCTTTTCTATGTTTCTTTACTTCTTCTCCTGCAACATACAGGGACACTACAGATAAATGGGCATTTTGGTTGATTTTAGGGTAGTAATATTAACTTATTTTCAATAGTCTAGACTTTGTCAAAAATGTATTTGTTCTGAATTTTCTTTTTAAAAAGAATGTAAAGTTATTTTAATTTTGAAGAATTTATACCTTATAATTATAGTTCAATCAATGAATATGTGATACTTGTGAGAAAAGAGGAATTTTTTTTTCTTCAGACCATTCATCCATTGATTCAATAAGTATTTACTGAGTAGCTACTATGGAAAAGGATACAAAGATTAGCCAGCCTGTAAGCTCCTCAGGACCAGGGCCTATCTCCTGTTTAACTTTGGACAACTGCATCCCACCCTGCAGAGCCCCTAGGAAGCATCACGTAGTGGGGGCACAATCTTGTTGGCTGAACAGTTAAGCAGCTTGTTCCTTGAGCAGAAGCGATAAGACATGAACATAAAGAACTGATTCAGGGGTGAATGATATCTTAGATTTCTGCTGTTTCTAAGAATTACTTATTTGCCATTCTAAATTAACATTCATAACACAATATGACTTTTGCAAGTAAAATAATAACCCAGCAAAGAAAGAACTCATGAAAATGAATCCCGGTGCACCTTACCTTTATGTCTCGGTGAACTATCTGATTGTCATGGAGATATTTTAATCCTTCCAGTATTTGCTTTGTATAAAAGCCAATTGTTTGCTCATTGTCTTTTAACGGACCCCATTTGGAACGGAGGAGAGCAGAAAGACTTCCTGTAAAGTAGGAATAAACAGTAAATAAAACCTCATTCCAATGAGCTGTTTAAAGCATATTAATAACGTAACAGTAATTCGAGCTAACATGCATTGGTTCTTCACAGTGGCCCAGGCGCTGTACTACATGTCGGGCTCAAACATGAATCAGCAAATAGCCCCACTCTGAAGATGCTTGCTACCAAATACGTCTAAGTAAAAGGCCAGTGTCAACTGCTAACCTTAATTCAAGTCATGATGATTGATACTGAAATGGTTCCCATATTTATGCACTGGCTCTGTGAAATTACATAATTCAAATGTAAAGCTTTTAGAACTTTAAATTATTTAAGCCTTATTATTATTTAAGGAATGTGACTTTGTGGCCTGAGCCATGCATCATGCAGTTGTATTTCTGTTTCTGCGATTATAGACTAAATCTCTTCCTCATTTTTGTCATGGAAATGATTGGGAAAGACTGAATGGTGCCAAAGATAAGATCCCATGAGACCATCACACCTCCTTATGGAATATTAAAACAATCTACCTTGGAATATAGCAAGTTGTAACCACTTAAAATAGTGACCTTGTGTAGAAGATGTTGCCACCCTGTTGGTCTTTGACCTATATAAGTGAGACATGAGCTTCCTCACTTTGGAACACTGGCCCATTCTTCTGGAGTCTGTGTTTCCTGGGTGGCTGTCCTCAAGCTTTGCACTAGAATGACCTCTTTACATTAGGGTATTTTCTAAATCTCATCATTTATGGTTGACATCTCCTAACAAACCGGAGGTAATACCACATGTCCAATTTTTCTTTCAGTTTAGACAGATTAAGACCTGTACTCTAGTAAATCTCATTCAATTTTACTCCCCTTCAAGGCTCTACAAATTCATACGTTTTAAAGCAAGAAATATCTCTTACCTCCCGGGACCTGCTCCATGAAGATTTTAATGAAACCATTCTCACTGAAAGAGCCCAGATACTGGACAATATTTTTGTGCTTCAGGTGCTTATGCAATGCTATTTCTTCATGCAGGGGCTGAGAGTATCTAAAAGACATGCAATTGTCAATGAGTTAATTATGTAGCCAGACTTTACTGTATAAATTTAAACAATACAAATAGAAAATGTCAGCCAAATATATGTCCTTATGTAAAACCAAAACAACCATTTAAGGCCTTTATTTCTCCTAAGGTAAATTCTAAATTCTATGAAGGTGTGGTAGGATCTGAGGAGAAATGTGTCAGGTAAAGACAGTTGTATACATTAATTCATTTCATTGAGAAGGCAGTATTGCTATGCCCATTTTACAGATGAGGAAACTGACTCACTGAGAGGATGACTGACTTGCTCAAGATCCCAAAGCTAGTTACAGAGCCAAGATTCGAACCCAGGAGAACTGAAACCATCCACACAGTTTACTCTCCATATTAATATGACCTACCTACCTTCTTTCCTTCCTTCCTTCCTTCCTTCCTTCCTTCCTTCCTTCCTTCCTTCCTCCCTTCCCTTCCCTTTCCTTCCTTCCTCCCTTCCCTTCCCCTTCCTTCTTTCCTTCCTCCCTACCT